GGCAGCCCCTCAAATACTGGAATACTGCTATCATTTGATTGATAATTTGTGCGTTGTTACTTTGATTTTTCAAATCCCACTCCTTATTTCTTTCTCCTTGTTACTAGGTGGAAAGGTGATTATGGATATAAGGTCCAGCATTATTTTCCATCCAATTATGTTGAAGACATGTCATCAGAGAGCATGGAAGAACTTGAGAATCAGGTAAGGAATTTTTGTTATGATCTACATCAGTGGTGGGATTCAAAATTTTGTAGACTACCCGTTCTGTGGGCGTGGCTTGGTGGGTGTGGCAGGGAAAGGATACTCCATTCCCTGCCCACTCCAGGGGAAGGTTACTGCAAAATCCCCGTTCCCTCCCGATGAGCTGGGACTCGGGAGGCAAAGAATAGATGGGGGCGAGGCCAGTCAGAGGTGGTATTTACCGGTTCTCCAAACTATTCAAAATTTCCGCTATGGGTTCTCCAGAACTGGGCAGAACCTGCTGAATACCACCTTTGGATCTACATGTTAAATGTATTGCTGAAGTTCCTAATCCATTAAAATGATTAGGAATCTGGATCTGGATTCTACCTGTACAATTACTTCCAAAACTATGTTCCACATATGAATAAAATAAGACATCTGTCTATGATTCTTAATGCTTTTCTATGTGAAAATAATTTCACGTAGATTTCTGTATCCCTCTATGACTGGACACCTTTTTGTGTTGATTAAAATATATTGACATATACTCTTTGTTTGCCAAAAGCAGGGAATAATATCCATTCACAGAACAGGAGAAGCAATAAATACATTTGCTATTTAAAAACCTGTAAAATCTTAATGCCAATCACTATTTGAGTAACTAGAAAGTTATAGCTGTAGCATTTTGATTATACAACCATGCAATGCAGTTAGAATCACTAGAATGAAATAATTACAGGTTAATGGGTAAGGTGGGCAGTAAAGAGATTTCTTTCTTTGTTGTACTTTACTAATCTTATCCTGTACTAGGATAACATATATTATGTTATTGTTTTGTATGCTATTAATAATAATTGTATAGTAGAAAGCCAGGAACTCTTGATAAGTATAAAATATAAGGTGTATTTTTTCTTTTCTTTCTTAATTTGAGCTTTTTAATTTTTAAACTTTCTTTTTAAGATTACAATTTGTGGGGGGAAAGGTAAAAACCTTACAACTAACAAATTAATAGATGTCCAACCAAAATATGTGCTACCTTTCCTATCACCGCTATCTATTTAACAGGAAAAAAAATGTTACTAATTTTTCTCCAAAGCTGTAAGTTAAAAACATTGATAATAATTTCTCAGTGATTAAATTTCACGGTGAGAATTTATTATTCTAAAATGTTGCTTTTGGAATTTTAATGGATGCCGATGGGAATCGGGTTTGTTTATTGTACTCCTACTTATGAAGAGGAAAGTTTTTTTTTAAAAAAAAAACCCTTTATAATGGTATACAAATCTTTTATTTCCAGATCTTTGAGGACAACCCTTTAGGATCATTATGTCGGGGCATTCTGGATCTCGATTTATATACAGTGGGTATGTAGATGCTGGGCTCCAATATTTTTTGCTCCTTAAATTAGAATTAATGTAAATGCCATGGAAGAAAAAAATGTAGCTCTAATAGAAAACCTTAGGATCTTCCTCCTCTCCTTCTTCTTCTCCTTCTTCTTCTCCTCCTGCTCCTTCTCCTTCCTCCTTCTCCTCCTCCTCCTCCTCCTCCTCCTCATGTAAGTTCTTCGTAAGGACAATACCATTGATTATCTTCTAACTAGCTTATGAAAGAGAGATCCAACCTAGAACCAAAGAGAAATTTCTAATCAGCGACTTACTTCCAGAAGGTATGGGTGTTCCATCAGTTTTTAAGAAGAGATTGGACAGCTATTTGTCCAGAATAATATAGGGTTTCCTGCTTGAGCAGGTGGTTGGATTAGAAGACCTTCAAAGTCCCTTTCAACTCTGTTATTTTGTATTCTCTGTACTCCACCTCTGCATAGATTTTTGACCTGTTTACCTTAGTAGCATAGCTTTTCCTTACCATGTTTGCGGTTCAAGAGGGTGAACAATGCTTTCCAAGCTAATAAAGGCAATCCCCATGAAGAAACTTTTGAAGGCACGATAGAAAAGATACAGTTGGAATTTCATGGCCTAATAAAGCAGGCCCAGAGGCCTTGTAGAACACTTCGGCTAAAGGAATGTGGAATAAATTCCACATTTTTTCTCATTTTCAACAGTGAAAATGCCTCAAGGAAACCACGGGAGGAGTTTCGTCTTTGTCCTGGAGCCCAAGAATCCTGAAGACCCCCCCATTGAGTTCGCCACTGATAAGGTAGAAGAATGGTTTGAGTGGTTTCAGAGCATCAGAGAAATCACCTGGAGAACTGTTGAAGAGGTAGGTGTCAAGCCTGCAGCTATCTTGTCTTTTGGATCTCAGGCCTGCCACACTTTCTATTATTCTGCTATGCATTTTCTATTGTGGGAAAATGGGAGGGGGGATTGTAAGGAGTGAGATGCTATGTAGCCATAACAAAATTCTTTCGAGAAAGTCAAGGTCATCCTTTGTTTCTGCACCTGACCGGAATTGGATGGGTGGAACTTGTGGACTTGTGGGTGTGGGGGAAAGATCTTGAACTTTCAGCTAGGTGGGGAAAACCGGGAAGCTTTCAGATTCAGGTTTTCCCAGATGTGCCAACATGGCTCTCTTCATAAATTGGAACTTTGAGCAGTACTTTGCCTTAGACTCTGCTTTACTTTTGGATGCTATTTGGAAACCTGACAGTAGGAACTCTGGCCCCTCGCTAAGCACTACTCACCCATTCAGTTTAGTCTCCGAGCTTTGTTAGTTTATGTTAGTAAACTAGTAAAATTATTGCTCAAGCGTTTAGTCTTTTGGCTCAAAGATCAGTTTTCCAGCCAGTTACGCCGCTAAACAAAAGGCTAAGTAGAGATTCTCCTTTGCAGACTTATTTTCCTTAGAAGTAATCCTCAATTTACGGCCACAATTCGGGCTAGAATTTCTGTGGCTAAACAACACGGTCATTAAGTAACTCGCGCCTCATTTTGCGGCCTTTTTTTTTTTTGCCACAGTCAATAAGCAAATGATTGCAGATTAAATGAATCATACGGTCGTTACACAAATCTGGCTTCAAAGCCCTCATTGACTTTGCTTGTTGGAAGCCAGCTGAGAAGGTCGTAAAAGATGATCACATGACCCTGGGATCATGCAACCATCTGGTTGCCAGGGGTTTGAATTTTGATCACATGACCTTGGGGATGCTGCAGTGGTTTTAAGTGTGAGGACTGGCTGCAAGTCACTTTTTTCATGTAAGTTTGAATAGCAATAGCCCTTAGGCTTATATACCGCTTCACAGTGCTTTACAGCCCTCCAAGCAGTTTACAGAGTGAGCCTCTTGCCCCCAACAATCTGGGTCCTCATTTTACCAACCTTGAAAGGATGGAAGGCTGCGTCAACCTTGAGCCGGTTAGGATTGAACTCCTGGCAGCGGGCAGAGTTAACCTGCAATACTGCATTCTTAACCACTGCACATCAAGGATGGATGGACAGATGATCGAAAGAAGGAAGAGCAATAGCACTTAGACTTATATACCACTTCACAGGGCTTTACAGCCCCTCTCTACGCAGTTTACAGAGCCAGTATATTTCCCCCAACAATTTGGCTCCTCATTTTACCAACCTCAGAAGGCTGAGTCAACCTTGAGCTTGGTGAGATTCGAACTGCCAGATTGCAATCAGCTGGCAGTCAGCAGAAGTAGCCTGCAGTTCGGCACACTAACCACTGCACCACCACAGCTATGAATAGTCATTAAACGAATGGTTATAAGTCGAGGACTACCTGTATATGGTTCAACATCACACAACTGTCCTTCAATTGCTCTATTATTCCAAATTTTACCCCCAATTGTCATTCTCATCCCACAAGGGCAGCATGGCATTTCTGACAGTTAAACTAATCAGGATACCTGGAAATCAAATAGTAGGAACATTTTTATGTTTTGGGATGATTGACAGGGAGTTCTTCTTTAAAAAAAAAAAAGAAGGTAAAAAAGTTCAGTGTGATTTAATCGTTGGAGATATTAGTTAAAATATTGGGAGATCTTGTGAAGGATTTCAGTAGAAGCCAGCTTAAAGTTGACGTCCACTGAGTGATTTTGTGAAGTTTCTTTTCCTGTTAGGTGCCATGATCGAATGTATACTCTCTTAACTTCGCTTTTTTTAATTACATTTTAAAACAGAAAACTTTAAAAGGATACTTGGAAAAGAAGCAGTTAATTGCCATGGAGTTATCTGACTTGGTGATCTATTGCATACCAACGAGCAAAACCAAAGACAACCTTGGTAAGCCATTTTTAACCCAATGGTTGGCTTGCTAAATCCAAAACAATATTTGTTGCTTTTAGAGAGGAGAGGTGATCTTCAAAACAAACTCTTTGATATTTGCATATTTTCCAATTTTGCAAACTGGGGAGATCTGCAATCTAATGGGTTTTGGAAAGGTCCTTCTAACTATGATGTCTAAACATCCATGGCACAATTTCTTCCTATTTGAAGTGAGATGCAGGGGGAAATTGCTGCATAAGCCATTGGAAGTCATCTCACTGTCTCTTTTCCGCCTCGATGTAGGGTGGGATCTATTTTGCAAACTTCTGCCACCAGCATATTAATTTTGCAATTTAATTTTAATTTAACTGAAGGCAGCAAACGTATCTAACTCACATTTTTTCTCTGGAGTGAGTTGGGCTGAGAGTGATGGGCTGGCCCAAAGTCACCCACCTGGTTTTCATGCCTAAGGTGGGACTCGAACTCACAATCTCCTGTTGATTGGCCCAAAGTCACCCACTGGGCTTTCATGCTTAAATTGGGACTTGAGCTCACAGTCTCCTGGTGATTGGCCCCCAAGTCACCCACCTAGCAGTTGTTGGAAGAAATATCCATCTGGGTTCAGTTCCAAGTGGGGGGAAAAGACACTGGATTCATGGATGTTTCTTGGAAAGAAGATTTATTGATGGTGAACAGGATCACAAGGCTTGAGATCCTGGGCAAAAAAGAGCAGAGATGCTGAGGGTGCCTGGGTTTTATGTCCTCTGTTGGGCTTTGAATTTGAGCTTGTGTTCTGATTGGTTGTCAGACTCCCATGGGGCCATGCAGGGGTAGCTTTGTAGGTTGTCTTTTGAGTCCCAGGCTTGATTGAGCCTTGCTGGGTGATGATGTAATGAAAGGGCTTTGGGATTCCTATTATGGCTCTGCCTGAAGGAGGTAGATCTTTGTTATGTTGAATAGACTGGCTCAGACCGTAATGGCCCATTGACAAAGGTGGTGGTGTGATGAGTTTCAGCCTCCCTTTTAGCGGGAAATATTCTGCCATTTTAATATTTCCTAAAATATCTCATTTTCCTAGGAGAGGGGGGGTGCTCACTTCCTACACTTTCCTGGCTAAAGTAGCATTACTACTTACTATCCTGGCACTTTGGCCATTAGGATAAACTGAGTCTCCTATTGCAACTCTGCAGTAACTAACTGTATATTTATGAAATTCTTTTTCCTGCACCTTCTTTTTGTAGATAATCCTGATTTCAAAGAAATTCGCTCTTTTGTGGAAACCAAAGCAGAAAGCATTGTCAAGCAGAAACCGTCTGACCTCCTGAAGTATAATCAGAAGGGACTGACTCGAATTTATCCCAAAGGGCAGAGAGTGGATTCCTCAAATTATGACCCTTTTCGCTTCTGGTTTTGTGGGGTGCAGATGGTGGCTCTTAATTTCCAGACACCAGGTAAAACAAAAAGGCAATTCTTCTCATTCACTTCGCAACCTGCTGAAATGATCCCACTGAGTGTTGAGAGAGAGGGGGGAGGGAGGGAGGGAGGGAGAATGCTGAATATGTTAATTTCGAAATTTTCAGAGTATAAGACGCACCTAGCTTTTGGGGAGGAAAACAGGGGGGGGGAATCTGCCTTTGCCTCCTTGCAGCAAACAGCAAACAGCCTGTTTCAGCAGCACAGCCTGATTAGCACAAGCAGCTGATTGTTGGTTGGATCAGCCTCCCGACCATCAGCTGTTTCAGGCTGCAGGGATTGCCATAGCCTATGGCAGGGGATCGGAATGGACGGAAAATGGGGCGCATGAAGGCCGAAAACGTGGCACACAGAGGCCAAAAATGGGGTGCGGAGGTCGAAAATGGGGGGGGGGTGCAGAGGCAGCAATAGGCATTGGCAATCCCTGCAGCCTGAAACAGCTGATGGTCGGGAGGTCGATTCAACCGACAATCAACTGCTTGTGTGCTGAAGCTAAAAATGAAACAGGCTGTTTGCTGTTTGCTGCAAGGAGGCAAATTGCTGTGAGGCAGAGGCCAAAGGATGAGGGCTGGTGGGTGGGTGGGGCTACATTCGGTGTATAAGATGCACCCAAATTTTCACCCTCTTTTAGGGGGGAAAAGTGCATCTTATACTCTGAAAAATTCAGTAATTTGTGTTTCTATGAAATATAAGCTATATGTTCTCTGTCCAATTTTGAAGTCATTATCTTCTTAAAATGAGAAGCTGGATCAGTTTCTTTGTGGCTTCTATACAATCAGGTTTTTTGAGGACTGAACTAATTCTATGTTATACTACAGTATATAGATTTTCCCCGTATCTTCATTATCATTAAGGTTTTCTTTCCTTCAGCGTTTAATCATCGACACATACATATATATGTAGTTTTTTTATTGCCACATCGCTGATGTATTTTGTTACCCATTTGTAACTAAAGAAAAAAGTTCTCTAAAAATCCAAACCATACTGTTAACAGTTCCAGTAAGTGGCAAACGACGTTTGTCATATTTCACTGAAATGTAATATTTCAGGAAACAAGGAAGTGCGGATTTATCCCCAGATGCATTCAAACCTGACAGTTCTCAGTTGCCAGCGTTAATAGTTTTTTATTCAGTGATTCACCTAATAATTGCAGTGATTTGCTTCAAGAGCAAAAAAAAAAAAAGATCCTAAAATCTGGCACAATTTAATGATCATCTCATTTAGAGATCAGAGTTCCAGTCCTTCTTCTTGTCACATGTTGACGACTACCTGCCTATTATAGTTCTTTCATTTCCATTGAGAAGGACGATGGCTGCATCTTCTTGGGAAGTACCCCATACTTGTTCAATTGTTTCGCATTGCTCATTTTCGTCCTAAGTTGGTGTAGAAAAGCTCCACCCCCTTTTTATTTAGGGGATTTTGCTTTCCGCCAATCCTTTCCCTTGGTGCGTTGTTAACCCTCTAACCGTCTGACTAATGTCCTTTTTTCAACCTCCCCGTTCCAAATATTCTCCTCAGATAAATACATGCAAATGAATCAAGCGTTGTTCTCACTGAACGGTTGGACTGGCTTCGTGCTTCAGCCGGAAAGCATGAGAAATGAGGCCTATGACCCCGTGCCAAATGAATGCAAGAAGAAGCTGCAAATGATTTTGACTGTGCGGGTAAATGTTTCCCCCCCCCCCACCATGAATGGCAGACAAGGAACATGGGGAGGGAGGGGGGGTGTCCATAAGAGGTTTTCCTTTGAATTAATACTTGGCAGTCTTTGTTAGATTAGGGCTTCTGCAAATACTGCTGAAGGACTGGAGCCATTTCATGGGCTGAGGGAAGAGCTTTTGTGGTATCTGCCAACAGCCTGAGGTTTTGATGCCCAAGATAGCAACAAATATTAGTCTTAACATGTGGGCCGGGGTCGGCAACCTTAAACACTCAAAGAGCCAAAAAGGTCCTAACCGGAAGCCCCCCTTTCAATTCTGGAGCCAACCGCTAGTTTGGTTTCCCCATCATAGAGTCTCCTCCTAGCACGGCGTCCTTTTTCCTCTACCTGTCCTAAATGAAAGCCCTATCAATTGTGGAGCTGACCGGAAAACCCGCCCCTTGCCATAGAGTCTCCTCCTGCCATGCCCTGCTTCCCCCCGCTCCAACTGGAAGCTCCTTTCCAAATTGTGGTGCCGACTGGACAGGGAGCCACAGCAGAGGGATGAAAGAACCACATGCAGCTTCAGAGCCGCGGGTTGCTGACCTCTGATGTGGGCAAACAAATTATGAATTACTGTACTTATTGGGCCTCTGTCATCAAAGCACCACACTTTCCAAGGATCTGCTCAAATGTCAGCCATCAAGTTGATTGTCACCTTTCTAGTTATATGTTTGCTGAACCAAAATTGGCTTTTTGTAAAATCATCCTCATTAGATTCTGCGATTGTTCTGACTACTAAAACTATGGCATACTTTGCCATAAGCAACTTTCCTTGCTTAGATTTCTTGAATAATTTTTCTTAGAAGAGAACATTTGCAGCTCAGACTTGAACTGTGGGGTCCCTGATGCTCTCTGAGCTTGGTGTTTTTCTTGCAGATGTTTCATTACCCAAATCGGTAACATCATCAGTGCTAGAAGCAGAGGTGGTATTCAGTAGGTTCTGGGCACTTCTGGAGAACCGGTAGCAGAAATTTTGAGTAGTTTGGAGAACCGGTAAACACCACCTCTGATTGGGCCTGCCCCCATCTATTCTCTGCCTCCCGAGTCCCAGCTGATCGGGAGGGAATGGGGATTTTGCAGTAACCTTCCCCTGCCATGCCCACCAAGCCATGCCCACCAAGCCACATCCACAGAACCAGTAGTAAAAAAAATTGAATCACACCATTGGCTAGAAGATAGTCAAGTTTGCTCTCATTTTATATATCAGTGGCTTTCCCTGTCACTATTGGTGGGGTTGGTGTTTTCTTCTTGGTAGTTTCTTGATTAGGCTGTTGCTTATTGTTTCTGATTGTATGTCTGACTTGATTGGGGTAAACTGAAGAAACCTCACTTTCTTCTAGCACTGATAATGTTACCTAGCTTAGTAATGAAACGTCTGCAAGAAAACCACCAAGCTCAGAGATCACCAAGGACCCCACAGTTTTTATCTGCCTGTTATAGGGTAGTAGTAGTATAACCTCTATTATTCAAATGCTCGGTGTGATTAATAAATTTAAATTATTACAAAAATCTGTTTTTGACAAAGCCCAAGCAGCTTCAGCGCTTAGCTAAACTGGAATCAATGGATGTGATTGAATCTTTGCTGTTGAGCTAGTTGTGCCTTAGGTAATTGGAGGAAGAAGCTGTTAAATTATTATCTGGTTTGAGTAGCAGCTTCTGGATAGGTGCACCAGTAATTCAGTATGATTTGGAATAATTTGAATATTGTCTGCTGCCTTGAAACAGGTCATTGCTGCCCGACATCTTCCCAAGACTGGCAGAAGCATTGCACGCCCATTTGTAGAGGTGGAGATCTGTGGGGCTGAATATGACAACAACAAGTTCAAGACAACTGTTGTGAGTAAGTACTGTTTGCTGCTCTTTAAAAGTTGGACTGCACCGTGGAAGAGGGTAGAGGCGGAAGGAATATCTAGTTTGAACATCCAAGAAGCAAACATAGACAGAGACGAAGATCTAAGAGGGGAACGTGGAAGGCAAGTCAAAAAAAAGGATAGCAATTAAAGTAGTGTAGTGGATAAGAGATGATGGATAGATGATTTTTTAAAATCATCTTGATTTGCTTTTCCTTCTCCCTCTCTTTCTCTTAAAGCAGTTTTCTCAACCTTGGCAACTTGAAGATGTCCGGACTTCAACTCCCAGAATTCCCCAGCCAGCGAATGCGGGCTGGGGAATTCTGGGAGTTGAAGT